AAAAAGGAAACATTGGACTTAAACAACATATTAGACCAGATGGACTTAACAGACATTTACAGAACATTCCATCCAAAAGTTGGAGAATACACATTCCTTTCAAGCACACACAGAATGTTCTCCTAGTTAGATCATACATTAGGCCACAAAATAAGTCTTAATAAGTTTAAGAAGATTTAAATTGTATCATGCATCTTTTATAACCACAAAGGTATAAAACCAGAAATCAATTACAAGGACAAAACTGGAAAATTCACAAATATGTGGAGATTAAACAACATGCTACTGAATAACCAATGGGCCAAGCAGGACACCAAAAGAGAAATAAAAATATATCCCAAGACAAAGAAAATGTAAATACAACATACACAACTTGGGATGCAGCAAAAGTAGTTCTAAGAGGGAAGTTCATAGCAATAAATGACTACATTAAGAAACAAAAAAGATCTCAAACAACCTAACTTTACACCTCAGGAAATTAGAAAAAGAAGAATAAACTAAGCCCAAAGTTAGTAGAAGGAAGGAAATAACAAAGATCAGAGCAGAAATAAAAGGAGACTAAAAAGACAATAAAAAAGATCAATGAAACTAAGAGCTGATTTTTTGAAAAGATAAAATAGAAACTTTAGTTAGACTCACCAAGAAAAAAAGAAAGAGGATTCAAATGACTAAAATTAGAAATGAAAGAGGAGCCGTTACAACTGATACCACACGAATAGAAAGGATCATAAGAGACTACTATGATCTATTGTACACCAACAAATTGGACAACCTAGAAGAAATAGATAAATTCCTAGAAACATACAACCTACCAAGACTGAATCACGAAGAAATAAAAAATCTGAACAGACCAATTACTGGTAAGGAGATTGAATCAGTAACCAAAAACCTCCCAACAAACAGTGGAAATAAGGCCAAGTGTTCTGTGGGGCCAACCTGGAGGCACAGGTGGGTAGCCAGGAGCACAGCCCCAGCCAGAGGTGCAGTGTGCCCCCTAGCACACACAGGCACAGCAGCAACAGCCAATTTCTCATTGGCTGCCTCCACCAGCTGCCTCTTGCCTCCCTCACTGCTGATTTAAAGTCTATGTCTAGTATTCCATTGTACATATATACCATATCTTCTTTATCTATTCATCCATCAATGGACACTTTTGTTTTTTCTATATCTTGGTTATTGTAAATAATACTGAGGTGAACACAGGGGTTTGTATTAGTGTTTTCATATTCTTCAAAGAAATACCCAGAAGTGGAATAGCTGGATCATATGGTAGTTCTATTCTTAATTTTTTGAGGAATCTCCATACTGGTTTCCATGGAATACTACTCAGCCATAAAAAAGAATGAAATCTTGCCAACTGCAACAACATGGATGGATTTTGAGGGTATTATGATAAGTGAAATAAATCACATGAAGAAAGACAAATACCATATGATTTCACTCAGATGTAGAATCTCAAAAAAATGAACCAACCAAGAAAACAAAACAAAAACTCATAGATACAGAGAACGGATTGGTGGTCACTGGAGGGGAATAGGGTTGAGGGATGGTTGAAATGGATGAAGGGGGTCAACTGTAGGGTGACGGATGGCAACTAGACTTTTGGTTGTGATCACTTTGTGGTATATACAGGTGTCAAATTATACGGCTGTACACTTGAAACTTATATAGTGTTATATACCAATTTTACTTCAATAAAAAATAAATAAATAAAAATAAAGTTTAGTGTCTAGCAGTTCATTGTCTGGGATTCCTTAGGGATCATTTCTATTGATTGTGCTTTTTTTCCTGTATATATGCAATATTTCTTGTTTCTTTGCATGTCTCATAATTTTTTATTGAAAATGAGACATTTTACATAATATAATGTGGCACTTCAGAAATCAGTTTCTCCCCTCAGGGTTTGTCGTTGTTTTTGTGGCTAATTATTTGCTTGGTAACTTTCTTGGACTAATTTTGTAAAATCTGTATTATTTGTCACGTGCAGCCACTGAAGTATCCATTCAGTGAGCTTAGTGGTCAGCTAATGATTGGACTGATGTTACCCTAAATGCCATGAACCAATAAGTCACCTAGACTTTTCCAAGGAGTGCTGTGCATGTGTTGGTGCATATTTTCAAGATTCCAGCAGGCACTTGACAACCCTGCCTTAGCCTTCACGTCCTCCTTGCACAGATGGAATTCAGCCAGAGCTGAGCGATTAGGGCCTTCTCTGGTCTTTCCAGAGCATGTACACAGCACTGGGCATAGGCACAACACTACACATGCGTGTAGCCTTCTAGATTTCTGTGACTATGTTAGAAATTTTCAAAGCCTCCTAGATATCTCATTCCCCACTTTTTCCTTTTATGTTTTTTGGTCAGCCTCTCATTAGCTCCAATTGGTCTCACTGTCTGAAGTAGCCGTGATGTCAAAAAATTGACCAGGGGATAGGACTGAGCATACAGAGCAAGCTCTGAGTTAGGTGAAATAAATACCTGCTCTGAGAAGGGAGCTTTGTATGAAACTGCCAGACAGGTCAAATAGTGACAATTTTTTGGAGATGGAGATTTTGAGCAGCATCAAATCCATTCTCTCCTTTAGTGGCTGCTAGGCTGCTGGTTTTCAGAGCTACCGCAGTGCAAGCCTGCTGGCTTCACAGCTGGGAAGAAAGGGATGGGAGTAGGGCAACTCAAATTGCCCCAGAGCTCTCTGTTCTTGCTGATATTCACCCATTCTTCTTGAACAAACACTCCATGGATTGTTGCAAGTTTTTGATTAAGTTCTAGAGTTCTGATGAGGTTGACTGTGACAATATTTGTTAGTATCTAATAGCTTTTATGGAGCAGCAGATTTTACTCTGAAAGTGTACATTCTGAAGGTGTTTACCTCTGTAGCAGGGTTTTTGTAGAGGCTTTCTACCAAACTAAATACGGGAACTTCTAATCCTATATCATTATATTCTTTCATCATTAATAGATAAGTGATTCTTCACATACTCTACTGCTGATGTGAAGATGAACATATGATTTTTCCCTTTATTAATAAGGAGTATTCCATCGACTTACTTTTGAATGTTAAACCTGTAACCGGACTGAAAAGTCCGATCACCCAGGTTCTTGGTCAGCGTAAGAGAGGAATTCAGACACTGACACAATGGCAACAGCAAGCAAGCAAAGATTTATTAGAGGAAAGGTCAGATACGCTCCAAGTGAGGAGCGGGCAGTGCCAGAGAATGCATGTGTCCCGTATCTTGAGTTAGCTTTATTTTTATTTGGGTTTTTTAGAAGGGAATTAGCATTATCTGGTTATCTGCCAATAATGTTTTTTCCTCCACCCACACGTTGGGAGGGGGAGTTCTTGACATTTTAGGGGAGTCTCTGGAACTGTCACGGCAGTCATCCCCTGTGGAAGGGGGCTAGTGCATATGGAATTTGTAAGTAAATTAAAGAAAGGTCAATGTCCTCTAGAGGTGTATAGCAGAAGGCTTTGTTTTGTGCACTTGCTACTTTTATTGTCATGGTTGAAGGTCTCAGACTCTGGTGGCGGTGCCAGGCAGGTCTCAGCTCCCCTTCATCTGTATCTTGCAGGACGCCAGCAAGACGCTTCACTGATCCAGCAAGGTCTCCAACTACAATCCCCCACTCATGTCTGGACGCCAGTAAGACGCTCCACTGATGCAGCAAAGTCTCCTACTATGATCCCTCGCTCATGTCTACCTAGTTACCTATCTCAAACCAACCGCACATTGTTGAAATAACTCCCCACTTGCTCATGATGCATCACCATTTTTATATACGACAAAATCCATTGGCAAAATATTTTGTTTAGACTTTTTGCCTTATTTTCATAGTAAGATTGGCCTACAGTTTTCCTTGCATGTAATAACCTTGTCATGCTTTGGTATCATATAATTGCAATGAATATCAAAGTTCTTTGAAAACGGAAAGGTCATGTGTGGGGGTGTGGACTGCAGACAATCATTTTTAAGAATAAAAGTGCAGACATTTTAAGTTACTAGCCTGTTAAACCAATTAGAAAGGATTGTATTTTTCTAAAATTGGTCTGGAACTCACATAGGACAGCCAAGCCAGGGCTAGAAGAAAGCAGTGCAGATGCACAGTGAAGAAAGGCCAGGAGGTAGCTACAAGATTACGCTAGAAAGAAAAGAGAGGAGTTGGTGGATAGAGTCGGGGATCCAGGGAGCCGTCTTTTTCCTCAGCATCTCTCTGCCTCCCATATCTGGTACCAATTCTCCTGTGTGCATCCATATTACCATTACTTAAGATAGGTATGTTCTTTGCCACCAAGTGAGTAGGAACAACAGACACTTTTACAGGAGTGCCGAGAGAACTAGAAGGGTCATTTGGTCTGGGGTTCACATACCAAAATGGCCTCAAGTTAGCCTTTTGACCTTATCAACAAACGAAGTTTATATAAAGTCATGGAGACATCAAGACAGGAGTTAAAGTAGAAAACATTCATCGCACGACTTCAATTTAGGTCTCATCTCTGCAGTGCACAATGTATTGACATTCTCCATAAATCTAAATATTATCTTGTTAATAGTTCATTATCTTGCCTTGTCTTTGTGTCTGTGTGTGTTTCAAACATTAATTTGTTCAAAGAAAGCTCTTCAAATGTACCCATTTCTGAAATCTGTTGGGAAGGGTGGGGTTTAAATCGTTCTGGATACAGAGTGAGGAGAATGGAGTTGGTCAGACCTGGGAAAGACAAAAAAAAAAATTCCCTCCTACTGCCTCAAAATCCACTGCATAAAGCAGGAATTATTAAGGGTCAGGCCAGCTCTGAGCTTCCCTGAAAAAGAGGGGCGCTTGCGGGCTCTCAGAAGTTATGCCCCGGAGGTTATTACCGTGCCTCTTCTCGGAGGGGGGAGTGGTGGTGAAAGGAAACAGCTATTTCCGGTCCAATTAAGGCGCTCTGACCTCGGGCCCTGGGGACTACAGCTCCCCCTGCTGGCGGGCGCTGCCGGAGACGATATAAACGGAGACCCCGCCTGCAGGCTCCTCGCTCGCTTTTCTTGCGTTATGAAGCCCAGCAGCCTCTCTGCGCTGGCTGCGGTCTTCCTCCTCCTCTGCCTCCACGTGGCGCAGCCTCGCTTCCGGAAGGGTGGGTGTAGGACGTGGGGTCCTGTGTGTGGTAGGGGTCGGGGAGCATTCCCTCGGAGGAGTCCATGGGACAAGCCGGCCCTGCTGCCTGGCAACGGCGCCCTGGTGCCCCCAACTCCCCGGGCGGCCTTTTTCCTCAGCTGCAGCGAAACCCGGAATTTGCCCCGAGTTTACCCTTTCCTGCCCCTTCGTACTTATACCTCTGTGCCGGCGCGACAGACGCTGCAGGGGCGCCAAGAAGTGTTGTTTCTACAACTGTAGGCGGCGGTGTGTGGAGCCCTGGCCGAGTTTGGAGTGAGGTGAGGAGCGCCCCGTCTGCCCCCCGCTTTGAACCAGGTGTCCCAGAGCGAGCTGGGAAGCATCACTGCCCTTAGAAATCCCTGAGATCAGAACCCTTAAATTGGGACCTGCCCTGAAATTGGCCTCAAGGACAGTAGAGAGAGAGGCCCGACAGACCTCCTTCCTCCGAAGACGCACCCTTGGTTCCATGTCATGGGCGTCCCAGTCCTGTGGATGATGGGGACATACGGACAGGATTATCTCTAAGTGCTTCCACGGTTATTGAGTTTTTGTTATGACAGTTTTCAATTGCCATCGTTTTTCTTACAGCTCATAAGAATGAATCACTTTCCTCTCCACATTTAAATTGTGAGGTAAGGGATTATAGGATTATAATGGTTTAGGATGGCTTGCCTAGAATTCCTGATCCCCGTCCCTGATTTCTTGGCAGCACATGTCAGTGCTCTTGGGAGGAGAGTACCTAAAGGATTCAGACCACAGTGGTCTTGGGACCCGATGCGTGTTCCCTGCACGGTTGGCACCGTCCCATATCTCTAACTCTCTCTTCTCTCGCCAGGTAGAAACCCCTTCTTAACCAGGCCCGAGAAGACACTGGTAGAGCGGGCTCAGACCTGGATAACTGATCTCTGATTCTTCCCTGCTCTCCTCCTTCCCAAGACTTCCTTTTATCCAGAGTTAAATGCTTATTAATATGAAAACAACACAAAGAAATAAACGGTTATATATTTAAAACTACGTGACAATCTATGACTGCAGGATCCCCCCTCCCCCTTTTCTATGTCCTCAGCCCTTTGGGGGATCCTTTAGGGTTCGTTAAAAAGGATGGGGTTACTGCTTCATAGTTAGTTTTTTTTTTTTAAAGATTTTATTTATTTATTTATTTTCCCCCAAAAGCCCCAGTAGATAGTTGTACATCATAGCTGCACATCCTTCTAGTTGCTGTATGTGGGACGCGGCCTCAGCATGGCCGGAGAAGCGGTGCATCGGTGCGCGCCCAGGATCCGAACCTGGGCTGCCAGCAGCGGAGCGCGCGCACTTAACCGCTAAGCCACGGGGCCGGCCCTTCATATTTAGTTTGGATCGGTTCACGCACTTCTGTTTTTCTGATGTGTTTCTCTCTTTCGGTGTCTCCTGACATTCGGATTCTCTGTTGGTCAGGTTCCAGGGGCGTTTTTGAGTCGTGTTTTCTGCGTTTGGATCCTGTGAAAGGTGTACCTCATCCTGGGATGGAGGAGCAAGCCTTTTTGCCACCTTGTCTCTGGCGCTGCTGCTGGTGGCCTTTCCGCTTGCTGGAGTAGTACGATCGAGGACTAGATATGGGACTTTAGGTTGGAAACAGAGCAGGACCTGCCTTAGTTCTAGGCTCCTTTAGGGTCTAAAATTTAAGCCATCATAACTCAGGAAAAAGAACTCCTGTCTGTGACCCAGTTTAGCTGCCTGGAGTCTTAGTTTGGGGGCTGAGCCCCTAATCTACCTAATAATGAAGTGTTCGTTAGCCTTGCATTTTCTCACTTTCTGCTGCATGATTCAGTCTTGATGAGGGATCACACAGGGATTTCAGGTCTTGGAGAGTGGTCTTCAAAGAATTTATTTTTCCTTGGCACATACATCTTAAACAAATTTTTTTTCTGTTTTTGTTTTTGCTGATGAAGATTGGCCCTGAGCTAACATCTGTGCCAATCTTCCTCTATTTTGTATGTGGGATGCCACCACAGCATGGCTTGACAAGTGGTGTAAGTCCGCGCCCAGGATCCGAACCCTTGAACCCAAGCCACCAAAGTGGAGTTCGCTGAACCTAACCACAATGCCACTGGGCCAGCCCCTTAAACAAATTTTTGAAAAACGACTTATTCTTTAGAATGTTTTAAGGTGACATATAATATTTTTCATCATAATTTACATAGTTGTGAGTGATAAAATTTTAGGTGTATGATGAATATTGTCATTTAAAGAAAATGGGGGCCTCACTCTTTTTAATGTTTCTAATGGAATCTAATTGCCATCTTCACTTGATAGTAATATCTATTGGAAAAAAACATGTTCCTTCTTTTCCAAATTCTCTTCTGCCTCCTCTCTTCCTTTCCCTTCTTTGCCTGAAGAAGTCAAATCAAAACAAATAGATGAGTGGGTTAGTTTGGGTCCTCTGAAAAGCAGATGTCAAGACAAGAGTAGATGATCAAGGGTTTATTGGGGAAAATGGCTGTGAGGGGTAAATGGGAGGTGGCCAGAGGAGACAAGGAGAGCCATCAGATCATGACGCAGGGCTGACTCCTGTGAAGGAGGAGGGAAGGATGCAGGGCTGTGAAGGAAGAGTCTCAGAATACAGTGCCATATCAAGAAGGTGTCAGCCGGGCTGAAAGAGAGTGCTGGAATTAAAGTCACCCATCAGAGGAGTCCCGGGTCTCCCAGAATGGGTCAGGGATGGAGGGCTTCCTGGCCAGCTGGGGGGTGATCTCCTCTTCCTTTCCTAGGGCAGGAGCTCAATCAAGTCCTTGCGGTGGGCATCCCAGGCGAGGGAGCCCTGACAAATAGGGACCAAGTTCTCTGTGAGAGCTTCATCCGGGAGTGTGTCCGGACCACCTGACATTATCCTTGACTAAACAGCTCTGGCTGCCGCGCTCACTCTCTCTGCTGTGCTTTGTCTCCCTCTCATTTTCCACATCTCCTTTGTTCTCTTATTCTTCGTCTCCTTCCCTCTCTGCATCTATCTGGGTTACTTTTCATTTCTGGTTCGTTTTAATTTTTATTACTGTATTTTATAAATTATAAAATATTACTGTGTCTTATTCCAGTATCGTACTCTTTCTCTGTCTGCCTGTCCTTCTGTCTCTAGCTCTCAATTTTTGTCATAATGTTTTCCTATGTTGTTTTTATTTTCTCCTCTCACTGTCTCTGTCATTCTTTGTCTCTGTGTATCTTTGTCTTTCCCTGGGCTAGAAACATGAGAATGTAAAGCCCACACGTTCCCTCAGGAGCCAGTGACTTCTCATTGCCGGCTCATCAGGCCGTCCTTAACATTCTCCCCTTGCCCATCCCTGGATCATGTCTGCTCCTCCACAGGCTTCCTTTTGGTTTCTGGGGACTCCTTTCACCCACTGGGAAGCTGGTCTCTTGTGCATTTGTCAATTCCACCTCCCTCCTTGTGCATGTTGTCCATAACCCCCTATTGGTGCCAGATCTGTTAGCCCCCGCTGCACCAGGATGACCAGCGGTGCTCAGAGAGGAAATGCCGTCCTGGTGCTTGTTGTGGGAACTGCAAGAATCCTGCAAATGTTCTGAATGTGGGTGGGAGGGTCCTATCTGCCAGGAAGGGGCGAAGACTGAGACTGAGGACAGAAAGTCTTGGGGTGCTGGCGGGGGCTCCCTCTGAATCTGGTTGGGGACAAGGCCTAGCTAGGTCCCTGCTACTGCCAACATTGTAAATCTTATGGGTCACTTGATCAGTTGGTGGAATCGATAGTCAGCCTGACTGTAGGTCAGCCACCAGTCAGTCCACCAGGGGGCCCACTGGATTAAAGGAATCAGGCCTTCCTTCATGAGATGCTTAAACCTCAGTTTGGGGCCTGGGGGCAGGGGAGAGGGGTTGGCTTCTATGGAGCAGGTAAGGCTGGGCTGTGGTCCAGGACAGCAGGAGGGTCTCAGGCTCTGGACCTGCTCTCTCCAGTTCAGGTGAGGCCTGGGAAGTGTTCAGTGGTGAAAGGCACTTGTAAGATGCTCACCCCTTCAAACTGTTGCAAAAAGGCCGCTCAGCACTGACACAGCCTGAAGTGCTACAGGGCAAGGGTAGGAGGTGGGGCACTGTCCCTGAGGAAGGTAAGAAGGGCTAGGCTCAGAGCTGTGACCCATTTGCCATCACCCTCCCCCAGTGTGGTCTAAGTCCACTGGAGCTCTGCCCTCATCGGCAGGGGGCTGGCTCACATGTGACCCTCAGCAGAACCTCTACCCTTCAGCACTGTCTCCCGCAGTCCTCCAGGCACAGAACCTCAGAGGATCGCCTGTGGCTGTGCTTCTATGCCTGGCCTCTTACCTGAGCCCTGGGAGGGAGATGGCCTGGAGAAGCTTAGAGAAACAGCCCTGATGCAGGGCTCATGAGACCTAGGTGTGAATGTTGGCTTTGCCTCTGACTTGCTTATTGCCTCGGGCAGGTGACAGCACCCCCCTGAGGCTCAGTGACACTTAGTTTCTTCATTAGTAAAATGGACATAATCATGTCCATCAAGACAACAGTGGCGCAGGGAATTAGTGTGCTGTGAAGTACATTGAGGGCTGGTGCTATGGTTATGCCCCATTCAACCCAGCTTGAATGGGTTCTAGTTTGATACTAAGGGTCAAACCGAATAGGACCGCCACAAGATAAAGAACTCTAAAGGATCTTGGACTAGTCCCATGTCCAGATTTTACAGATGGGAAACCTAAGGCACTGATGCAGTAGAAAGCCAGAATTTGAACTCAGCATCCTGAACTTGTAGGCAGTGCTCATTTAACCATACCACCGCCATTCTCCCTCTCTGCCTGTCCTCAGGAAATGCTGGGGACCCGTGGCCAAGGGTGCCTTTGGACCCTTGGCCATTCTAGTGCTAGATTAGTTAGTTAGTTAGTTCTAGTGCTATAGCTCTGACCTGCTTTTCTCTCCACAGACTAATCCCTGGTGTATGTGGTCTCTGAATTCTCTTTCCCCCGAGCCTGAAAACTTTGAAAGCTCCCTGATGAGGACGTGGTCGTATCACTAATATTTCCTTTGGGTTCAGATTTGGGCCTGATTCATCAGTGTATCCCTAGCATCCAGGATAGGGCTTGCACACAGTAGATACTCAGGAAATGCCTATTGATTAGAAAATGAATAAATGAACATGCTGTTTCTTCATATCCAGCTTCTTTGGTCTGGTAGCTGGGTAGAGGAAGTGAGTGACAGGACATTTGCATATGTGGCCTCCCTGCAAAAGCATGTGGAGGGTAAATGAGAAGGAGCAGAGGACTTAGGAATACACTTAACCAAGGAGGTAAAAGGTCTGTACAATGAAAATTACAAGACACTGAGGAAGGAGATTGAGGAAGACACAAATAAATGGAAAGATATCTCACGTTCATGGATTGAAAGAGTTAATATTGTTAAAATGTCCATACTACCCAAGGCCATCTATAGATTCAATGCAATCTGTCAAAATTCCAATGACATTTTTCACAGAAATGGAAAAAATGATTCTAAGATTTACATAAAACCAGAAAAGACCCCAAGTAGCCAAAGCAATCTTGAAGAAAAACAAATCTAGAGGCATCACGCTTCCTGATTTCAAACTACCTACAGGACTATAGTGATAAAAACAGTATGTTATTGGCATGAAGGTGAACACATGGACCAATGCAGGAACAGCCCAGAAATGGACCCTCGCATATACAGTCGACTAATGTTTGATAGGGGAGCTGAGAATACTCAGTGGGGAGAGGATAGTCTTTTCAATAAAAAGTGCTGGGAAAACTGGACAGCCACATGCAAAAGAATGAAATTGGACCCCTCACAAAAATTAGCTTGAAATAGATTAAAAACTTAAACATAAGCCGTGAAACCATAAAACTACTAGAAGAAAACATAGGGAAAAAGCTCCTTGACATCAGTCTTGGCAATGATTTTATTTGGAAACAGCACCACAAGCAACAAAAGCAAAAATCAACAAGTGGGACTACATCAAAGTAAAAAGCCATTGCATGGTAAAATCAACAATCAACAAAATGAAAAG